ATGATCAATATGATGAATGTACGGAGACAAATCAGGGGCTTTAAACGCTGTTTTTGAAGATTTGAGAGCAAGGAATGGAGCATACAAGAGAACGCAAGCTACCTCCTGTAGAAAGAGAAACCATAACGATGCTTGAGCAAATTTGTGAGAAATTTCAACCAAAAAAAAAGAAAAAGAAGGAAACATTGGTTTGAATCCCAATCAAAGTACTTAATATGTCCTCTTAAAAGCTGGAGAGGACCAATTTAACAATAAGGAAATACATGCACATCTCTTTTATTCGCACAGCAGCCTGACGCATGTGCAGACCAGTTGACTCCGAGTGTTCACCAAATAGCTCTCTTTGTTCAAAGAGAAGGGATATGCTTTTTTTCTTTTCCTACTTTACAGTAGTAGACTTGAACGATTAATTACCCGCAACCGGCTATTTGTCGCTGAATTGTTTGCTGCTGGACGGGGGAGCGGCCTGCTCCGCACATGTTGGAAACGCAGCCTTGTTCTATTATTATTAGTTAAATGTAGTGAGGAGGAGGAAAGAGGAAAAAAAAAAAACGAAGGAGGGGAGCATGATAAAGATTAATGTCTCCCAGAACCATCTGGAATCCATCACTTTGAAAAGCGGCTTTAATGCAGATACGGTTTGAAAAGGTATGTGCCGCTGCTTTTCCACCGGTCTTAATAAAAGTACCTGTGAAGAAAAGCCACTTCCGCGTGCATTTACAGTTCTGGATGTCTGGATGTCTGCAGTCTTTTTTTTTTTTTAAGCCTGTGTGGATGTGGCTGCATGCAGAGCAAGAAGGCGTTCAGCCAGCATCATAAATCGACCCCGTCGGAACGGTAAGAGATCGAAGGGATGCGTGGGTGACAAAACCCGTTAAGCTTTCGGTCTCTCATTACAGCGGGGAGACGAAACCGAGGCCGTTCACTTCGATTTAGCTGTTCGCAAACAGACAAACGCACCATTGTAATGAATCCCAAAGAGGGAAAAGCATCGGGAGAAACGCGCAAAAAAACCAAAGACGACTTTAAACGGGATTTCCAGATCGAGAGTCCACTCGAGATTAGCCCCGGTCTGGCTTCAATATGTACGGGACCCCCCCCTTCTTTGGCAAACTTGGCAGGGAACAACGTGTTTAAGATATGTTAACAAAGTTGGAAAATGGGTGGCAGACCACACTGGGAAAGCGTTCCGGCTCCAAAAAAACAGCAAAACGCTTGAATTTCCATTTCCACAACGTGTCAAAAGCATATTTTGGCATCATTGATTTAAAAAAAAAAAAAAGAAATGAAAATTCAATGGTATCTTGGGGATAAGGAACTGTAACTAACTTGTAGAAACACTCTAGCGAGGCATTCCAGAGAACCTCCGGAGAGAACAGCAAAAATAATGAGCCCCAGAGTCGTTTCAACTTGGGTTTACAGAAGTAAAAGTCATCAGTGTTCCCTCCTGCGACCCGATACGACAGCCGCCGTGGAGACAGCGCCTCAGTCTACGCTCCTTCCTGTTCCTCCAGGATCTCACACGCCGGCCCTTCAGCGTGTGTGTGTGTGTACGTGCGTGTGTGTGTGTGTCAGTGTGAGCATGGAAAGGCTTCCCACATAAAGAGGCCTTTTCATCCCTGGGGCCGCCGCCTGCCCACTGGCCCCTGGAGAAGTTTGTAGAGGATAAATAAACCTCTTCAGACGCGCAGGAAAAAGATGGAGGCAGTAAGCGGGCACTTGAACGGGCGAAGCCCGGCAGGATCTCAAAAGACGGACTTCACGGCGTTCTGAGGAGTTATTTGTTATTATATCGAACCGAAAGAGCGAGAAGGGCCAGGAGGGCAGGGGCCTCTTGATTTATGGAGTGATTGTCCAGCCTGCTGTTCACAAACACACACGCACGCACGCACGTGCGCGAGCGCCATATCTCAGTTACAACCATACCTGCACACACACACACGCACACACACACATATCGGCATCCACATTAGCACACATGTTCAGAGTGTACATATCACACATTGCTTCCAGCTGGCCACAGGCTTCCGACAACTGAAAGGAGTGTTATTGCCCCCTCTCAGACACACACACACACACACACACACACACACACACACACACAAACGCACACACATATCAGGATGCCGATAGTTCACACATGCTGCGCCGGATGGGAAAGCAGCAGGAATGTCTGGATGCTGATATCGGACTGGATGTCACCAGAAAGCCAGCATTGTTTGAATGGCTCAAAATGGTCCAAAACAGACCGAATTCTCCTGTAAGATGCCCATAATACAAGCCCACCCAATTTTTTTTTCTTCTTTACACTGACTCCGTTGCAACCACAAATCCTCACACCTGGATGTACAGCTCGGGTGGCTCCATTCTTTAATTTTTTGGGGAAAACGGGGTTTGAAAGTGGCCATTCAGGAGTTCCTCATCGCATATCTTGGGCTGTGGAGTCGCTCAGAGGACCTCAGAGGACGCACCGCAGCTTTAAACCCGCCTTTAAAATCGCAGGATGTGACATTTGGCGGCCGACGGGGACCGGACACGGGAGCACTTAGCGCTGGAAATGACGGATTAGTTTCGAAAACAGGGGATGTGTTCTCGTCACGTGCTTCACAGTGTGTTCATTTAGCCGGTGGGAGTCTAAACATCCAAGGGATCCAAGCAAATGTTCCTCATATATTTCCCCGAGATCAAAGCAAAGGATCACAAAGACCCTCTGCACTGCCTCCCCTCGCTGCTACCTATCTCGCTTTTAGCATTTATTCCCAGATAAAAGCATTTGCTGGATTAAGCATCGTTGAATTGTATCCGCCGAGAGCTAACCTTTATGAAGGAAATGCGCACCCGATACAAAAAATGGGCTGCTGCTCCATGCTCCAGGCAGCGGCGCAGCGCTCGGGGGTCCATAAAGCCAAAGTGAGCTACGAGTCCCCGGAGAATATTATATCTGCCCCATAAAGCCCAATTCGCCATGTTTAAGACCAGCAGATATATTCCGCAGCCCATTTTTCTCGCGTTTCTCTCTCTCTCTCTCTCTCTCTCTCTCTCTCTCTTTCTCTCTCTCTCCCAGTCATACACAAAAGGTAAGGGGAGGCGTTCACGCTGCGCTTGGATTTATGGGCTGTTGCCTCAGTGTTTTCCTCCTCCTGAATGGAGCTTTTTGTTTGAACAGAAAAAGCGCCGTTAATTCCAGGCTGTCAAAGCCAGAGGCCTCCGTGCAGCCCTGTTAAGTACATTATTGACTTAACGTCCTTTTGAGGTCACTCATACCTTTAAAAAAAAAAAGCTTTGGAGGGTTTGAGTTAAGAGCGAGAGAATGAGTCCCCCATTCATCTTTTCCCCCCCGTCCCTTTTATTTCACGACCCGGACGAGGAAGAAAAATACTTGTCGGGAGGATTTCATTTCATTTCCATTTATCCAGCGGCTGATTTTTGGATTTTTTAAAACTTGATTCTCAACAGGCACAATGAGTACTTATTAAAAAAAAGTATTTTGCTCTGGAGTACATACAGATGTGGTGTTGTTTGGGCGGCCTAAAACGCTAGGGGAAGAGCCAGCGCCCAGATGTGTTGTGAAGGGACTCACAGATTTCCGATTCCGGCTTTCCGAGGCCGTCTCGGTGACATCTGCATTCCGCAACGGGTGCCCTCATAAATCCCACTCTCTGCACACCTCATTCAGCCTTTCCCAGCGGTAGAAAGGGGTTGTGTTTGCGTGCGCAAACGAGCACGCGTTGAGTCAACTTCGCGAACGAGGAGTTTTGAGATGCTTTTGATTGGATTTTTAGTCGCACGTGGACGCCCATCCTGTCCGTCCCAAATAGAGGTCTGAGCAAGACGACATTTGTGATTAATAGACAAGAAGAGGAACAAGGGGCCTCTGTTACTCCCTCCAAACACGTCCCCTCTGTCCTCAGCGGAGGTCGGCATCCCGAGTGAAGTCGGTAAACATGTTGACTTTCCCCCCCACCCCCCCCCAGGCTCCAACTAAGCTGGCGCTCGGAGCGGCCGGGGTAAATGAGAGCTGGTGTTTTTGACAGAGAGAGGGCCGCAGAGGAGGGCGGTCCAGTTTCCGCACGGCCTCGCGTCTTTCGCCTCAGCCGATTGGTCGCCACGTTAAGCCGGGCGCCCCCCCCCCCCCGGCGGGACACTTTTTTTTTTCGGAGGTCGATGCCACGCTGTGGAAATTCGGCGTTCCAGAGAAAAAACAGGAAGTCTCGACGGCCAGATATAATCAGACATAGTCTGGTCACACAGATCAGAAGAGCCAGTTTTTAGAAGCGTTTATTACATCATAAGGGCAAGTTTGAGTGAAAGGCTGAATATTTTGCTCCCAGGACGCAGACATTCACGATTGTTTTGCAAATGTTCAGTCCAGCCCCTTTGATTTGGTTCATTATGGCAAAAAAAGCGATCCACTGTTTGCTCACAGACAACTCAGATGAGTCTTTTGACACTTTGTAGCTGGCAAAGTGACACGTCATTTGTTTCCATTCCTGCAGTTGTGTCGATTTAAAAAAAAAAAAAAAAAAAAAAAGAAAAAAAAAAAGAAAAAAACGACACAGATAACACGTATTGACAGTTTGTTGCACAGAGCGTATGGTTGCCTAAAAGCTTGGCGTATCTCAGCACTGTATGCGACATGTCCTTAAAAACCAAGCATGGGCAGGAAAAAATAGGAACTATTAGCCTTAAGAAAAAACTCTACTTCAGATGAAGAATATCTGAAAGGGATGTACTGAAATACGGCTAACAAAAACAGAAAAGAGCTGACACAGGACCTGAGAGGTGCATATGATATTTCAGTTGATCCATCAACTGTTCACTTGGGCCTCATAAGAAAGGGTCTCCATGGAAGAGTAGCTGTGAAGAAGCCTTTCTTGATTTCAGAACTCATAGGAGGCACATTTACAGATAAAAGCACCGGTGATTGAAGACCTTTGCAGGTCAAGGGGATTTTCAGACGTGTAATGAAGCCGTTCCCTCTCCTCTTATGTTTTTGGCAGATTCTGTCTCCAGCGAGTCGGCCTTCGTGGACGACTACGTCCTGGCCACGGGCGACGTCCTGGAGGTGCAGTGCGACCTGGATGACCAGTCGGAGCCCGTGGTCTGGTACAAGGACGGAGCCGGCCTGGTGCAGGACAACCGGACGCGGGTGGGCCAGCGGATCCTGCGCATCATCAACGTGTCCTACGAGGACTCCGGGGTTTACTCCTGCCGGCTGGCCCTGAGCAACACGCTGCTCGGCAACTACACCCTCAGGGTGACAGGTAAGAGCTCGGCAGTCCTTTTTTTTCTTTCTTTTTTTTTGCCTCTTCCTGTCTGACAGACCCTCTGAGACTTGAATTCCTATCAAAAATACTCGAGCTGTTTCAGTGGAAACGTCTCAACATGACAGCGAGCGCCTGCTCAGGAGGAGGGTTCTATTATTTTCCCATCGCTTGCCTTCAACTCCCCATTAGCTCCCTGCCAAGCCTGCCCACACACACACTCACTTGCGCACACACACACACACACACACTGTACAAACCGACAGACTCGCACCGCTGCACGGTCAGAAGCAAAAAAAATCCCCCAAAGGGTGACGGCTGGATAAACTCTTGATCTGAGCGTGTGGGGTTTTTGCTAAGTGTGCAAGGAGAGGGGGGGGGGGGGGTTGGGGGTAGGGAGCGTGGAGGGTGAGGTTGGGGGTGGGTTGGGAGGGGGGGGGCAAACAGCAGCTTAAAAAGTCGGCCAGCCTTTTCCCGTAAAACTCACGGACACCAGCTGAGCCAGTTACTGACAGCTAATTAGAAAGCAATTAGCTCCAAAGATTTCTGCATTGAAAACAGATGGGGGTGGCAACAAATGCACAAGTTCACTCCACCTATCTCTTCACAAACACACACACACACACAAGTGTTAATTTGGCTGGAAGCCGGGGAGAAAATCCTCCTAGAAATGGATATCATTTTCAATCTCCAGGACACATATAACCACACACAAGCATGAGAAAGTCATTTTTTTCCCTTTTAAAACATGCCCTGGTGTGGCATCGGGGGTTGAAACTTTTCAGGACGCAAATTCATCCCAAGAAACAAATCCTGTTCACACTCAGGGCTTGAATGAGTCGACGAGTGAATGTTTGATGATGATGATGATATCCTGTTCTCCTCCCCACACTTTAAACACCATGCGTCCAATCCGCCTAAAACACAAACGCACTACTGTGCCGTTCCCCAAATATTTGAATAAGGTGTCAGATACTGAGAAGCAGTATCAGATTTAGCAGCTGGACGAAAAGCAGCCAGATTGTGTCATACATGGAGAGCACTCACAATGGAGATAGGAGGCAGTGAAGGGATGAAAGAACTTTTCATCAGGCGTCAGCACATCAAACGGGAGGGGTTTTAGAGGTTTCGCAGGCAAAACTGAAATTTCTTTCCCGATTTCCGGAAGACAACTGGACTCTAGGATAATTTTGTAAACATTTTGTCATGACGTTTTTGGTGAATAAAACTTGCTGTATCTTACAAACCAGATGTAAGGAGCTTTTGTTTTTGTCATATTTGACGTACGATCATTAGCTCCACTTAAGTCCTTTTAATACCCCAAAATGTTCACAAACGGTGTACATCAACTCATTGTGGTTTTTAAAAGACCAATGTTGATCTTGGTGATTGATGTGTCAAGGTTGTGAGCTTCAACTCACCCTTTCTTGGAAGGAGTAAGCCTTTTGTTGAATGCTCCTTTTATACCCAATGCTGGCACCCTCACCTTTTACCAGTTCATATGCAGACTGTAGAAATTGTTTCCCTTTTTTTAATGTCACAGCATCATTTTCTGAACATGTTGTTCATTGAAGACACTCATTATGATGATTTATTTTCATTAAGTTTGTCTGATTGAATGAAAACAAACTTCAACAAGAAAATATTGTTTTTTGGGGGGAAAACTTCCCAATTGAAGGTAATGTCATGTGTGGCATCCTAAGAGTTGTCTTGATAAATAATAATAATAATAATAATAACAGGAAAAGGGGAAAAAAAGAATGAAAACATTCTTCCATTCTGAGTACAATCCCCCCCAAACTCGTGAAGCTGCTCGAGTAACATGTCTGTTGAGTTGTTCCACAGTCGTAGTAGAGCGGTGCCGTGCACTGAGGTGTCAAATAATAGCAGGCAAAAACCTCCTAGTCAGGAGTTTCGGGAGCAGATTTAGCTCACCGGGGCTGTCTAGGTAACAGCTGGCTCTCATTAAACAGACCCGGGGAGCTGAACCAGAAAACTCCAGGGTCAGAGGGAAAATAATTACAAGGCTGCCGTGAAAAAGTGTGATACAGCAAATCTAAACAGTGTCTGTGGCTGCAAAATAATTAGACTGACACGCAGACCTGTTAGCGGCAGTTACCGTCAGTTGGTGTGTGTGTGAGTGTGTTTGCAGTCAGATTTGTATCTGCACACGCTTCCATACAGCTCCACTAATGACCCCTCTGATTTCTGACATGTGGGGGAATGTTTGGATTGTAATACTTGGGAATTGTAGACCTGTGCACGGGAGTTTGCTTTGATGAGACTTTTCTCTTTCACATTTGTGTGTAGCAGTTTAATAACACTCATTTGTGACCACGGACTATTCAATCATAGTTTAATAATCTATATTTTTTTAATTGTTTTCCTGATTTTAGCAATTCAGGGTCACTGACCTGCTAGATGTAGCTTTTATCTAATGCCCTGCAATGTATTCAAATCAGCTGTTATTTTATATCTTAAAACGAAAAATAAAGTCCAGTCTGAAATGTTTTGTTTCCCTCTTTTTTCAGATTCTCTGTCATCTGGCGATGACGAGGACTTTGACGAAGACCCAGTGGGTGCAGGTAATGGAAATGGTGAATTCTTCATACATTCTTTTTCAGACACTATATTTTTGATGCCTTCCTCAAAAACAAAGGGTTGGAAAAGTCCACAGGATATAAGCACTTAACATATTTATAAGCCATATATTTTGTGGTGGGATCACAACTTGAATGCCGAACAAAAAAAAAAGAACTAACCAACAGATTCATTTTAAGAAATGGGAACTGATTAGACAATATAAGCAAAAGCAAACATAAAGCCTGAATTATGTTTAAGGAAACTCATTAATTTAGACCGAACGACTTGTTCGGCAAGGGTAATAAATTCCATGACTTCCTTTACATATGTCAGCTATTGTTTTTCGGGCAAAGAAAAGGAAAAATAAGGGCTAAATTATTGTCTGCTTATGTTAAAGAAATCTATTTCCCCCTAAAGCAGCAGATTTTTTTTGCTTTCCTCCTGATATGTGTGCATGAAATGGGTTGTAATGACGCCACAATATGAGTTACTTGTCTAGTTGGCATGCTTTTTGTAGCTAGCTCAGGAGACCAGACTGTTACGGTCCATTTTTTCATTTAAAAAGAATAAAAAGATTAGTCTTCTTTGACTATTCTTTTCCTCTTTACCACTTATACAAATATATATCTAGAAAATGTTCTTTTCACTTAAACAGGGAACAGCTGTGTGATGGTTTACTGCATCATCTCATAACCCTAATGTTACCACCTTGTGGGAGGTGGTAACAGCTGGGAGAGCCACCACGTCTGGAGCATGTCGGTTGTAGAGAAACGTTTCAGCAGCAATATTTCCCCCCCTGACAAGCTTGAAGCTCAGGGCTTAAAGAAGCCGGGATGTATTTCTAACACAGGTACTGGTGACTGCTAAGCGAACCAAAGCCGTTTAGCGTGTTGGAAACGATAAATCGGCATTTGTTTTTGCTTTCACCGGAGACAAAGATTATTAGACGTGAAAAAGGGAGAACATATGGGGTGAATTAGCAATAGCTGGGACTCGCCAGCGAGAGTGAGCACAGAGACTCACCTGATAAATCATGTTTACATGTAGGCTTTCTTATCTTCATCAGTCTGTGCTCTGCTTACATGGACGGATGGTTTTCTTGTCTTTACTTTGCATAATATGATAAGAAATCCAAAAAAACCTAAATCGGAAACCTAGATTGAAATGAAAACGCTTGTTTCACATTATTCCGCCTCGCAATGCTGCCTTTATTCTTAGAGGCCAACCAGCATTTCATAGCCACTTAGTTAAGTTTGAGTCCCTGGAAGGTTTTATGTGAACTGCGGGTCTTGCCCATGGACTTGTGCAGGTGATTAGATTTGTACGAGCGTGATGAGCGCTCTGTATGCGTAATTGGCGTTATATGGCCCTTATAAGCGCCCGCTGATTTGCTGAACCCGCATCAAACCTTTACCCCCCCTGGAGCACTTAACCGAATTCCGCTGTTGCGCAGATCAAAAGCCCCGCGGTTTCCCCCCAGCAGGTAACACCCCTCTTTAAGTGCCGCACCGTGATGCGAGCCGATCTGGCATCAGGAGACGTGCCGGGGTTCAGGCGCAGGTGAACAAAGAACGGCGAGGAGCGGCGTCGGGGGCTATAAGTGCCGCGTTTTTCGGCGAGAAAGCGCCTCCCTGCCGCGCGCCGCCTCTGCTCTAACCGATGAAGGCAGGCAGCAGAAGTTGAGGCAGAGACAGGCGGAAAATGGAAAAAATCAGATGCATATAAGAGAAATGAAATCGCGAGAATGCTGTGAAAAAGATCAGAGGCCCGAGGGGAATACGCGAAGGATCGCAATGCAAAAAATGGGGGAATCCCACTCAAAGAGAGAGGATAGATTGGTAGATTCGGTGCACCCCAGACTCTTGGGAGGAAACTAAAAAAGATTCAATACGACTGCGAACAGCAGCTCTTTGTGCCAAAGAGGTTACGAGCTCACAAAGTGACTGCAGTCCACGTTAACTGCTCCCAAAATTTGGTGGGGCAGGAGTAAAATGAGGAGGCGTTTCAGTGACGGAGCGACAGACGGACGCCCCCTCTGAAATGAAAGCCCCTTTGTAAACACTACGGTTCCCCCAACGGGCGACTCAAAAGGCAAATACAGAGACGGGGGACTTTTCGGAGATCCCGCTGAAACGTGGTGGATGTCTCATCCAGACACAACAGCCGCATGGAATAGATAGAAGCTCGAAGATGAAGGGATAGCAAAAACAAAAGGTTTTACATCCCAGGGATCCCAGGGAAAATAAGGGGGGGAAACTCTGAAACAACACGAGAAAGACACGGTGCGATTTACATTCAAGACTACAGTCGGAAGTCCTTGATTTTGGTGCTTTTTTCCAAGTTCTTTTGATGAGCAAACCCAGGACTGTCCGTCCACCGTATCTGTCTCCCACATTGTACCCGCCACTTTCAATTTATTTAATCCCTTCGTTATTTCCGCTTTTTTGAGAAAAAAAACTAAACAAATTCTTTGCTTCCTTCCTAATTCCAAAAAACATAATCGCGCCCCTGCGTTCAGATGCCTTTCTCTTTAAAAAGCGCGCGTGACGCTTTCATCCAGAGACGTTGGACATGAAAGCGGGCGCATTAAGATGCAGAGTGGCGGTGCCGAGAGCTCCTCGCGGCCGCCTTTGTGCCGCGAGTCGCCGCGGATAAGCTTTAACACCTTCCGGAGTTTAAAAAAACCCCGGAAGTGTTTGAATGCGCCGCCCCCCCCCCCCCCCCTCCCAAACGGGCCCAAGCGGCAGCAGTAACTCACTGCAGACGTGCTGAATGCCAGTAAATAGCCACCCCCCCCACCACCCGACGGCCAGACTTTAATCTCTGGATGTAAGTCTACCTCATGACATACGAGGCTCCAATTTCCTGTCCAAAAGGAGAGGGATTAGCTCTAGAAACATTAAACCTCTATCGGTGCTTAATGTCCGCTAAGCCAGCGCTAATTAGCCGACTGTAGCAGGAAGGAGCCATGTGAGGAACCGCAGCCAGACGGAGAGTCCCCCCCCCCCCCCGACGGTCGGCGGGACAGCATTCCCATGCACCGGATCCAAAGACGCGGAGAGACGGTGACAGGGTCAGCCGGTTAATGAGGAGAAGGGGAGCGTTGCGGGCTTTGCTGATAGAAAGTTGCTCAAAGAAAGGGAAGGTTTGGAGGAATGCGAGTTAAGCTGAAGCAAAGCTGCCGGAGACTTCGGCTCATCCTTCACAAACCCTGAGAAAAACCTGGAAAAGGAAGTAGACATCTTTCTATTTCAAAATATTATACATCAGCAAAGAATACGAATCATTTGGTTACAGCCGAGCTCACAACGCTGGGTCAGTGGAACCTAAAATGCAATAATTTTACGTATAGTGTCATATATATATACTTTATCATGAAAAAGAGCTGAAAAGCTTCCCCCAGTAGTGGATTCCCCTGGCAGGTTCAGCTCCAGTGAGGACCGCAGAGTGCTCAAGGAACTGCAAAAGACCCAAGAGTTACATCTCAGACCCTCTGGGCCTCATCTGCCCATCGGAATGAAGTCCGATGACCAAATTAGACATGTCGGTTCTGAAACACCGCTCAAGGGAACAGTGAGGACAACTGATCGACAGCAACTCAAATTAAACGGAAGAAAGCCCCATCACACCTTAAGGTCAGAGCTAAGGAAAGGCACCCACAAACATGCCATGCCCCATGGGGGACATCCTCCTTTGTCAGGAGAAATATAAGACCTCTGGACTGAAGAAACAAAATACAACACCTTTAAATATTGTGCCTCAGAGGCGTTGAGCCAACGTAGCATTCTCTGCCCTCACACGATGAGAAGCAGTTATTCTTTAAGTGGGAAGCAGCGTGCGCACTCTGAGCCTGTGGAAAGTGAAAGGGCAGTGGATGTGTGTGTGTGTGTGTGTGTGTGTGTAAGGGGGGGAGGAATGCTAACAGAGCCTAATCTGTGCTCCGCTGTGCTCCGGAGCTATGCGGCCTTCCTTGTTTACCCTGGCAGGAGAGCAGAGAGGCGGACGCTCTCCGGGGCGCGCTACGGCCGCCCCAGTCCTCCGGTCCTGTTTGTGCAGGCGTCAGCTAGGGCAAATTATACAATTACACAATTAAAACACCCCCCACCTCCATTCACCCAGATGGGTGTCTCAGTCGCTGAAAGGCCGAGGCCGGCGGCGCTGCCCCGCGTCCTGCTGCAGATAATTGCTGCTGCACTACAGTCCGACGGGTAGAGGAGCCCCAGTCACGCTTCTCTGACCGCTAACACACAGCCGCAAGTCAGAGGGAGAGCTAAACGGGGCCGAGGGGGGTGTAGGGGATACATTGCTACACTTGTGTGCATGTGTGTGTGTGTGTGTGAAATACTTTTTTACTGAAGAGCATGATTCAAATACAAGACTAAAAATAAGTAAATAAATAAACAGGAGCCAGGCCAACGCTGTGCAATCAACTGATTGTGTTATTTTACAAAAACTATTCAAGAAAATGAACCTGGATCAGCATCCTTTGAGTTGGTAATTCACGAGAAATTTGCATAAAGAAAATCTTTAAAAAATAATAAAAATGATCCTTTTCTTTCAAAGTGCCCTAAAGAACATTAAAGTGAGCGGAAATGTTTCATCAAGGAACTCTGTATTTGTAAAAAATCTTTTGGAACCTTTCTGTTAGGGCAGTAAAAAAAAAATTGAGGTGTGAAGATTTTTTTCATCCGGTTGGAATGAAAAACTCATGTCTGACTTTATGAGGAAACAACCCACACCCCCCCCACTTCCACACACAAACCAGCTTATCTTGCCTCCTTCTGTGTTCAGGGGATTCTTGCAGCCACACTCTGGAATCTGTTATCAAACACAAACCAACCGAGCTGGAACTCCGCCGTGTATTTTTAGGCTCCCAGAGAGAGTTCCCTGCCCGGCTAACCTCCGCAGCTGACAAGGGGAACATGACACTGGGAGAAGATGTTATGGGGAACCGGTTTTTCCACTACAGCAACTGCATCCATGCAGGGCAGTGCTATGTGGAGACCCCATCCCAGTGGAGGTCAAGGGGTATCTGTTTTGCACCCCTCCTCCCCCCCCCCTTCTCCGAAAATACGACTCGCTTTCACTTAGGAAATACCATCTATACCATTAAACACGGGATGAGGCCCCTGGGTGTTGCTGAACATACAGATTAGGATTCAACAGTAAAAAAAACAAAAAAAACAAACAAACTCAACAATAAAAAAAAGAATAGAATATATTTCCTTCATTTGTCGGTGCAAAGTATCCGTTTCAGAGAACTCTTGTTAGCTGTTAAAAGTTTACTTCTGTCGTTTTTATTTTATATTTTAACTTACAATTCATAAAATTTTGCCTTTAAAAAAAAACAAAAGCTTTCAGCTTTTTTAAAAAGATTATGACTTTTAATCATGTCCATGACCATCTTACCTCGGCATTGTTAAGTATGGTGGTGTTTTTACTGCTGATGGTATATCCTACATCTTATGGACACGTGAATAAGCGATAAATGTTTATTTACTGTATACAGTCAGTTTGGCTTTGAACAGTTCTATTAACAGTCTGACCAGAAAAGAAATGGCTTGGAACTGTCAACTCGTCACTTCATAATCATTTAATATCACATGAAGTGATCTGTTTAACTTATCTGTTTAACTTTTTTCACATCTCATGTGGTTTTTGATCTTATATCAAAAAGCCAGTTCAAAAGGAACTACCTGAAAGGGCAAATGGATAAAGATTTCCATAATGTTAATTCTGTTTATTAGCTTTAAGATTGCTTCTGCTTGGCCTTAGCTCACCAACTTCTGTCCACCAGAACATTTCATTTGCAGTAAGAAAGTAGGGCAAATTTAGGAAAGAGACATCACATTTGCACCCACTCTGTTTGACTGACAGGTGGTTTAGAGGAGCAGCTAAATTTCTTTTAAAAGTCTTGTGTTTTAGGTGGACAAAAAAACCAAACCCACAGAGACTTTTTTCTCACTTGTATTGAATCCACGTTGGCGTCTATTTTTAATCCAAAGACGTCATTGTGGTTAAGGGTTAAGCTGCAGCCGGAAGGTACGTTCAGGCCCACGGGAGCAACGGGACCACACAAAGAGAGACACGGACTGCTATAAAAAAAAGTGTGTGTGTGTGTGGCTGATTACGATGCCAAGAAAACAATGTGCTCAGACTCCCCGGAGGTTTTGTCCTGCACTGTGCAAGTCGGGCGCGCGAGACAGAGGAGAGACAGAAAGGAAAGTCGTGAAATCCCACTGATACGTTTCACTTTTTTGCGGTCTCGTAGGCGTGTGCGTGCGCGTGGCTCCCCGCGGAGACAGAGTCGGTCTTTGCGAGCTGAGGAGCGCTTGTCTGTCTGGTGGAGTTGTGTGACTCTCTCCCTCTCTCTCCTCCCGTGTTGGAAAAGTAAAAGAGACATCTGATGAGTGGTCAGCTACCAACCCCAGCCTTTGTCCAGGGAAACGCACGCACACGGACAAACGCACGGGCATAGGCCTATAAAGGGGGGGTTTGGTGGGTTTGTCATGGCTCAGTGCTCTCACACTCCTCACCCACACACACAGCACCTCTCTCTTTGTCTGCTGACCTCTCAATACAACTCAATAATTCGGCCTGACGGGTCTCCAAACTCTCAGGATGGGAGGATTCGGATGGGCCCTTGTTTTAAAAAAAATATATATATATACAAAAGGGGAAAGGAGATAATAAGTTTTGTTTGCTCTTTGTGACAGTCCAGGCGCCATTGCGTTCTTTCAAAATCTGTCAAACTGTATTTCACACCGCCTCGGCCCTGGATTTAACGGTATCTGTCTGGGCAACAGCTTCACATTTCGGAGCAGTTTGAGCTCCAGGCTTTTCTCAGAGAAGGCGATGGGAAAGATGGATTCTGTACGCACGGCGTGCGAGTCCCCGAATAGTATTCTATGAGCAATTTGCTTTAAAAAAAAAAGACACACACAGAAGCGCACACTCACAGTTACAGTTCATGGCAATCTCTGCGAACTAAGGGCGGCTTGCAATTCAAAAGAAGGGAGAAAAGGAGAATAAAAGACAATCTCACATCTGTTTGGGGAAACATCTGCTCACCCAACACAGGCAATCTGTGGAGTCTTTTTTTTTCCCCCGCAATCACAGCATCCTGGAACTAGATAGCTGCATTTAGACTTCTGAGTTTTGGATCAAAGACCTTTTCAGCACAGCTCAGAATCAAAGTACCCACAGAAATGTGACTCAAACCTTTAATTTTGCTCATATCCTATTTGAGACAAAGATTTCATAGATCTATTACCTCGCCATGTGGTCAAAACTATGGAAAAAACATCATTCAACATAAATTAAGAGTCTTTCTATTTTAGTTCATAATGAAAAATCACAGGCAATGTCGATTGCAATTATGGAAAAACACACAAACGTATAGTTAAATGGACAAAGGCTGAAATGTCCGTTTTTTGTTTGTCGACAGAAGCCCCATACTGGACCCGGCCTGACCGGATGGACAAGAAGCTGCTGGCCGTGCCGGCCGCCAACACGGTCAAGTTCCGCTGCGCCGCCAACGGCAACCCGACGCCCAGCATCCACTGGCTGAAGAACGGCAAGGAGTTCCGGGGCGAGCAGAGGATGGGCGGCATCAAGGTGAGGGGAAGAACCTTTCCACACCTAAAGGCCAGAGGGGCACACGCCCGTGATTTATCGACTCAAACTTCCTCGCCGCCCCCTTAAAACTTTTAACTCTCGTCCGGAGGAAGGTCAGCTTCGTCCCCCCCCGTTCCAGCTACTATCAAAATGCCTTCGGGCAAGGCATCTTAATCCCTCCGCGGCGTTTCCTCCCGGCCCCCGCCGCGATCGCTTCCCCCCCCCGGTGTGGATTTCCATAACTAGGGAAGTGCGAAGGTGTGTGCTGAAAGGAAGCCATGCCTCGGCGAGTCTTCTCACGGTCGCTAAAGGTCAGAAAGCGCGCCACGGGGGGCCAAAAAAACCCTTCCGCCGCCCACGGACCAAAATAAACGCCGGCGGTCGGGGCTGGAAAATCCAGCTGCCCCGTTCGGTTTTTGCCATCAGACTCGCTCTCGAACGCGGCGTTCCCACCTGGAATGGCCGCCGTTAGCCCACCGGGGCTCGTTTTACCATTGCCGTGAGGCCAAAAGCCAAAAAATTGACGTGTGTTTGGCACGAGATGAACTTAACTTGACTTAACTTAACTAAACTTAACAGCTCCAGACTCTTTTGAGTCTCTCTCCGCTTCCAGTACACAAACGGACTGTCTTATTTAATACGCGTGTCCCTGTGTGTTTCTGTTTTTCCAAAGTTTCCTTGGCTAAAGCAGTTCTATCAAAGGAAGTGAGCAGTGAGTTTTAAAATGCCACCCTTTAGCAGCATCCCCCGATCAGGCTTGGGGGTGGGGGGTAAGATGTTTCTCTTCCCAGTGGAACTTTGGCCTTTTAAGAGTTAAACGTAATGAGATCCTGCAGCTATTAACAGTTTACAGAGATCTCTAACATCTGCTCCCAGCAGACCGGCAGCAGTTGTCCCCCTCCCTCTGTCCCCACTCACACACACACACACACACACACACACACACACAGATTCACCCACACCTGTCACCAGCCCTCAGGATGCCCTAACTTGGAATGAAGTAGCTCCCCAACAGCAACTCTTAGCATGCGCGGCGAGCACGACGGCCTGCCGATGATGGGGGGGCATATATCTGCATTGTTAGCAGCAGATTCATCCCGAGCATGACCCCCTCAGGGCTCCTCCACCTGTTGACCTATCCCCTTGACTCCTGCCTTAAGTCGCTGAGCTTTGTCGTTGGGGTCAGATTACCGTACTTGCGTCGCGTTAGAGCTCTCAGGGGTTGCCGTTCTGTTTTGAGACGGTGGAAGACAGAATATGTGCAGCCTTTCATTTGACTGGTTTGGGTTTTTTCGCATACTTGTACACCCACAAGAGGCCATAAAATTAGAAAGGGTGGAAATTCGGGAGGGCAGCTAGCGATAGCGGGTGATTCAACGAAATGGTCAAATGTTGGCGAGACGCCACAACTAACGACAAACACCAGCCTTCGAAACGCAAGCCGGAAGATTGGCCAAGATTGGCCAATCAGTAAAAAGAGTGAAGGAGCATCGGCTGGAACCAGAGAAAAATCCCTCAAAGGCTCCTGGCTGTTGATCGCTCATTAAGGTTGTGATCGTCCTAAATGTTTAAATAGAGGAGTTTGATTTGATCTGAAGGGATTTTTCAGCTTTCATCGACTGGTGGGAACAGAAACTGTGGAAGTGGGGGGATAATGTTTCAGCATTTAGAAAGTTCAACTTTCTTTTGTCATTTTGGTTGTTAATCTTCAAAAAGACAGACATTTTGGTCATAACTTATATCATCATACCCTGCAGACCCAACTATTCCCTAAAGCTCTGCCTTTACACAACTTCAAGTCTCTATATTTAAAGCCATTTTTTTTCTCTTTTGCCACTATTTTTCTCTTTTGGGAGGACAATTTATTTTTATTTACAAAAGCATTTTTCCCTTTAGAGTTGTTCAGAGCAGGTTGATACCTAATTGAGATGTTTCTCTCCTCAGTCTCGGCCCTGTGAACATTGAAATGTCCATTTTTGGCAGATGAAGATGTTCTCCTTGCGCGTCTTCATCGAGACTGAAGCACGCGCTCCCCCCCTCCCCTTCTGTCCCCGGAGCGCTCTTAGAATCCGGTCAGCTAATCGCCATGTGGCCAGTGTTGGCCTTGAGGGAGGTGAAGGGAGAGGTCACTCTCTATAGAGCCGTGGTGGCGGGTGACAGACAGCTCCGTGACATGGCCGGGGCTTCGGGGCGGCGACTTAATGTCGGACCCTCCGCTGACCATCACATCTTTGTCACACAAGTGAATTAAACTGACTTTTAATCAGGAACGGGCCCCGTTAAGGATCTTACTCAACCTGTGGTCACAGTAGAAAAAATCCCCCCAAAAAATCACCATATAAAGAAAACTTTTAATTTATAGTTACACACACAGCAATCACCCACAAATAATCAACCAATTAGTGGATATCGGAAATAACTAGCGCCCCCCCGCAGCAAGTAATACTTATTATGATAACATCGAGCATCACCACATAGTAGAGGAAGAAAAATTATTATTAAAAGACAATTATGGGGGCTAAATGAAGACATAATCAACGTTGAGTTTGGAAGAACAGCTGAAGATAGATCTGTCTTTGTAACCGGGTTGACGGGCGGACAGGAGGAGGAGCCGTGAGCTCTGACAGCCGGACAATAGCCTCCTTAAGACTCTATTTCTCCAGCGGGGTCCTTAAGGTGAGGGCGTCTTCCTCCCCGCATCCGTTGTGGAATGACAACATCATTTTTGACTTGACAGCCGTCGTTAATCCGGCGTGAATGGAAGTCACATTTCGACGTGCGATGCGACAAATCTGTCACCCAGTCAGCGCCAAACGCCGCCGGCCATTTAATCTAAACGCCCTCAGAGGGGCAAAAGTGGGAGGACCATTAACCCACCTACAAAAATGCCCCCCCCCCCCGTCCTCGCAGCAAAGTGGTGGAGAGCAGCCTTTGTTCCCTGAAAACGTGGATTTAAATAATAAAAAAAAGCAGTTTTCCATAATTTCTCAAATTTTTTTTGGGGAGACCCTCAGTTTAGGGGGCCACAGGTGTTTTAAAGATAGATGGGAACAGCTTTGTTTTAGGATTTTAAATTTTTTTTAGGCCTTTTAATCAGGCAGGAATGCCTGTCAAATGTACTGCCGTTTGTCAGAATCCATTAAAAAAAAACGCTGACAAGGCATTCACCAAATCTGAATGCTTTCAAATGCATTTCCTTAAAGTGATGCCAATCTATAGAATTATAATGTTAAGAAGTCTGAAAAAATGTTTTTGGACAGAGAGAATCCTGTTGGCAGCTCAAGTTTTCTGTTGTTGTTGGGATTTTTTGGGGCTTTCAGTCCCTTTCCCACATTTATTGTTGCCTCTTTAGGCACGTGCTTGAACCTTGGAGAGGGTTTCGCAAGTCTGTTGGACGCAAACTTAGTGGAACGTTTGTCAAAACTAAACGAAACGGTGAATGGGACGCAAGGCTGGTTTGCGAAATGGAAATTCAAAATTCCGGCACGCCGGTGCGCCTTCCCAGACAACTGCGGCGCTCTCCATTATGGAGGAGGGCAAGGCCTCGAGGTCAGAGTTCAACCCCTCTATTGAGCCATCAGATGGAAGTGGCAAAAGATGGGCGGGGTCGCCGGAGCATTGAGGCGGCCGGAGCCTTTGACACCTCCAACTAATGCGGTTGTATGCCGCCGCATACAGCGGAAGGGATTTGATTGTGTTCATGCTAAACTGCTAAAGACTTAAGTTGACAATGTCATTACTGTTCCATTCCATCCAGGTTGCTAGGCACTTAGCCGATTTTCTTTTTTTTAAATCTCCGTTTTGACAAGCTTCCAGAGCAGTTCTGTCCACACAGTTACTTTTTTTAAGACTTTAAGCATTTTAAATCCTTGTTTTTTTTTTCCAGCCCAGATTTGAGCACAGCCTGGAGTGCGAGTCTCTGTTGGGCAGGAGGGATTTCTGCTGTTGTGAGATTATTTTTAGACTTTTTTTTTTTCTTTCATTATTATTACTTTAGACCTGCCACAGTTATGCTTTTTTTTTTTCTCCCATTACTTTACCCAAATCCGCTGCGGATAACAAAAGCAGATTATCCTGTTTAGTTGATGTTATTACAACATTTTTTTTTTTTTAATTCCCCTTTCCCGAGCACTGAACTTTTTACACTTTTGACTTTCAATTTTTACAGCCTTCTCCGTGTTGACGCAACGTCAAGTCGAGGCAAAGTTAGGACACGGACCCACAAACTATGCCAGTTTTAATAGCCGGCCCTCGGGGCCACATCGATCTGTTTCCTCCTTCTCTGTGGGTCAAATTAGACGGTAGCAGAGATCCAACCCACTGGTCCACTCTGGCACGGTCATAAATTCTGGTAACTGGCCCCATCGGTTCTGACAGGGCTATTTTGCGAGGTGAAGACGGAAGGTTTGGACTATAAAGGGAACAGTGCTTCCTGTGTTTTCTAAGACAACTGCTACTCTGCAAAGAAAAAGAAAAAAAAAAGAAAGAAAAAGTCTGCCTGTAAGGCGTTCAAGCAGATGTTGCAGTCGGGAATTGTTATTGGAATTAGAACATGTGAGGGAACCAACCAACGCAATGAGGTCCCGTAAGTGTTTTCCAGTGCAATTATTTTAAATAAAACACACACTGCTATCCCCTAGCTGCGTCTTTTACTAACTTCAGGCTCCCTAAAAGTTACAATTTCTCCCAGACACACACTTTTTGCAACGTATACACTGCAAACCACCCCCCCCCCAGCCCCTTCAATTCCTATGGCTAGCACCATCGTATGCATCCACAGCCAAAGCCCTAAAACCTTTAAAGCCTCGTATGACTCTAGCATAAGCTGCTTAATAATTTAATTCTGCTTGGAATCTGCTATGATTGAAATGGATGGGATTATCACGTTTGGGGACTAATGCCGCAGGTTCAACAGGGGTTAGCCAGTGTAGCATGTTAATAAAAGCCAATAGCGCGGCATGCGGAAAATAATTAAAATGCCAAGAGAGGGGCGAAGGCCTGTCGGTGTACGGTGTCGGCGAAGACCAGGCCTTTCTTTTGGAAAAGAAACTCAGTTTACCATAACACTATGGACTGTAAGTGCCTAGAGATCACAGCTTGATTTGACGCAGTATCAGAAAAACTTGAATTAAATTGAACAAGCAGATAGAAAGGTAGAAACACCAAGGAAGTCTATATCTGAAATTGACTTTATGCTTTCAAATACCAGTAACTGTAACCCTACACCCAGTCTCCGCGGTGGTCTCTTGGTGGCCAGGGTCTTCTACTGACTTTCAGCTCGTACTTTACCACCTTAAAAGATTTTTTTTTTCTTTTTTCCCCCCCCTCGATTCCCCTTCGCTCAGCGACCACAGCACAAGGAGTCACTCATTTGCTCATGAGAGCAGCCATTGACTCCAGTTTGACTCCTCGGTGCTGAGAGGGGGGGGGGTTAGACGGGGTGGAGCCGTTTGCCAACCTAGAGCGGGCGGCCTGGTCTATGTTACCACGCAACTCCAGAAAAGCACACTCAGGCATAATATTTACACTGTTCCTTCATTTTCCGAACGCGGCTCCAGGGGGAGAGTGGAGAAGTCTTCGGTGTCGGGACGGAAAAGGGGAAGAAACGCCGGAGGAGAGCGGGATTCTCAGCCTTTTAGGATTTGTTCGGTCACCCTTCCACTCTCTTGAGGGCAGAGCGCTCTCGGGTGGTACAGTGGAACCAATCTGAGATGTGCAAAAAAGCCATTCTGTCCACGCCGACCAAAAGGCAGAGACAGGAAAATACTCTTAGAGACTGAATTCTTTCTCAACCGCCATGCGACAATGGTCCACACCTGACGGTTTAAAAACCGATCAAGCAATATTCCGTGACTAATAATTCCTGCGACGATCTTTTGTCGTATGTTGAACGTTAGAAAAGTCTGACTCAAGAAAAAAAATGCTGTGCAATGTAACATGCACTCATTTCCTGTTCACATGGAAAATGGATCAGATGCTGAAAAACAGCCATTTGTCATTTTGAAAAAAATGTGTTTGCTGATTTTTAATTTAAAGCAAAAAGGGGCCTGTGTGTGGTGGGGTGGGGACATTTTATTGTTTTACTTTTGTATTTTTCTCTCATAGATTCTTTCATCTGTGCTTGCTGAGGAATAAATCAAATCATGTCATCAAAGATGAGCCTGTAATCTGATTAAATTAATGCTGGCGTTGTAAAGTAGACTGGAAACGAGGGCTTTGTTTCAGGTTACCGATTTCCCTCCCAAAATGGCTTTAGTCAGTATTAACTCAGCTCTCTGTCTCTGTCTCTCTACCAGCTGAGACACCAGCAGTGGAGCCTGGTGATGGAGAGTGCCGTGCCGTCGGACCGGGGGAACTACACCTGTGTGGTGCGGAACAAGTACGGCACCATCAGCCACACCTACCTGCTGGACGTTCTAGGTAAGCCTCCACAGAACTTTTTTTTTACCCAGAAGCGGCGAGTAAACGAATACGCTCTCTCCATTCTCCGTGTGAGGGACCAGACCGAATCAAGGACAAGGGTGTTCCAAAAATGAGAAGATTTTCAATTTAATAATATAAAAAATTGATAACAAAATGTCATACTTCCATACAATAAATAGAGGTGGACTGCCCTAAACTTCCGACATGAGGGAGGATCATAATAGAAATACAATAAACAAAAACCTAACAAAATGGAAGCAAAATCGTATTTAACTTGATACAAATATATTAAAATGACAAAATAAATTAGGCTCAATTGAACTTCAATTGAGCTTCAAAATTAACATTCCCCCTCCATCAGTCTTTGGAACAATGGTGTCTTCCAAGGCTTCCACCTCCAGCTGGATTCTAAATGGGGCCCTTACTGGTGGTGTTAGTAGGAGCATCCACCACACCCCGCATGACATCACTTCCCCGCATAACTTATGGTAATGAATCCATGTTTTTCTGTTTTGTTTGTTTCTCTCAGAGCGCTCGCCCCACCGGCCCATCCTCCAGGCGGGCCTGCCGGCCAATCAGACGGTGATCGTGGGGAGCGACGTGGAGTTCCACTGCAAGGTGTACAGCGACGCCCAGCCGCACATCCAGTGGCTCAAACACATCGAGGTGAACGGCAGCCGCTACGGCCCCGACGGCGCCGCCTACGTCAACATCCTGAAGGTGGGTTTCCCCTCTCCACCCCCCCCCATCCCCCCCTCGCACTGCGCGCCTCATTTCTAATGAGCCAGGCGCCCGTTGCCTGGAGTCCATCTCAGCCGGCGATAATTTTACTCATAATTAATCCTCGCTAAACGTCTCATTTAATGAGCTTGTACATACGGTGGGTCTGTGGGGCCCGCGGGCCCCTTTCCCAGCAGGGGATAATTGAAGGGCTCATTCCTCCAACACTAGACCTACATTATAAGATTATAAGAAGCCATTAACCTGCTGATTTTTTACTGTAAATCACGGCGGAGGTTTCTGCTCGCTGGGACAGATGCACCTTTTTCTTGTTTTATTTGGAGGATTGTTCAAATCTCAGGTTTTCCCCTTATGGGTAAAGGTTAGACAAAGCCTCGCGAGGTCTCAGGAGGCCTTATAATCAATTATAGTGTTAAGAAAAAGAGCTTAAATAGTTATTTACCAAGAGAGGACCCCGGCCACAAGTCTGTTCCTCCTTTTTGATTTGGGGCGAAGAGAGGAAGACTCCTGTCACAAACCAAGATGGCTTTTGCTTTCTCATTCGACCCCCCCCTACCCCCACCCGCAAGTCCCCCTCTCCTCCTCCAGAGAAAAGGAATAAAAAACAAACATCTGGTTTGGACTAAGTTAGCCGCTGTGGTGGCGGCAATGCAGGGAGGGAGACGGGTCGTGTTAACCACCGCTGCCGTCAGATGTGCTGAAGAGGAGGAGGAGGAGGCGGAGAGAGGGAGGAGAGAGGGAAGAGGCACCCAAAAAAGCCACGGAAAAAATGAGTGGAGCAGCACGAGGAAGGGCAGAGTCAGCAGAGAAGACGGAGAATGTGCGACAGAGCGGTGGGGCAGGACGAACAGTGAGGCTGGAGGAGAGTCAGACGTGGGGGGGGGGTGTTGGAGACAGAAAAGGGAAGAAGGTGAGAGACAGGAGACAGAAAAAGATACGAAACCTCACTGCAATGCCTTATTTTCCCTCCCGAGTACTGCTTTACTCAGCAAAGAGTTGAAAGCCATAATATGAAGGCAGAGAGGTTTTCTCAGGCACCAGTCATGATGGATTATTTTGCTGAAGCCTCAAATAATAATCACGCTGCGTGTAAGGGATCCTCAGGGCCTCATTTTCCTATTTCTTATTTGAACATTTACATTAAAGAGAACAGACAGTTCGATCATAGTGGTGGTAGTCATTTACCCCGATTCTTTCCTTATGTTTCCCCCATGTTAAGCCATCAAAAATGGAAACGAAAAAAGCTGGACCTTGTTATCCTTTTTGATCATTTTTGTTGGCTAAAAGAGGAGTGAAAGAAGTGATCAGCCGCAAAAACAAAAACAAAAAAACATTTCCAAACAATACTGGCGACTTTCTTCTGAAGGATCCAGACATCCAGGATTCCATGTGATGTGAAAAAAAAACACCCAAAAAAAAAAAAAACGGAGCCCGACGTGTTAACTTGCAGAGTGGGAGCTGGCAGAGTCTGAAGAGAGCAGCTGCAGCCAGGCCGACACAAGAGATAGAAGCACATATTTGGTGTAGAGTAACATTTAGCCATGTCAAGGCATGAAAAGATCATTGTCTCACAAAATCACCCCCAAACATGCAGGTTACATAAACATTGAGAAATCCCGAGCATTTTGGTAAATACCCTCTGGAAAATGTCAATTCAAACTCATTAGACAAAGACTTGTTTTCATAGCTGCCTAAAAAGTCTTACCGTGGTTTCACAAAACTGTTCAATTTGGAATATTTGATTAATTAGAAATATCAAAACATCCGTCTATGCATTTGTGATTTCAAGTCATTTATGTGGTTTTATCTATTTTTAATAATGTCTTTTCATCCTTAAAAGACGATTGTTTCCCATTTTCCCCTCTTTGTTCATCAAACAAGTATGTCTCGTTGGATGCAACCGTCATTAAAGCTTTCACAAAACAGAGACTAGTGGACTTCCAGAAGAACACAGACGGTCAGAAACAGAGAGAGAGAGAGAGAGAGGGAGCAGAAAGCAAAAGCCTGTGGGCCCAGACTGTGGCTCCAGGCTCTATTTTCGACTCCCACATAATTGAAACAGTATTTACAGAGATTTGTGTGCGCCTTTCTCTCCGGGCTCACCACAGTTCATTCAGACATGATATGCTCTTATGTGTGGCACACTGCTGGAGTTAAATACGGCTCCGTGTGGGAGGAGGAGGAGAGGGGGGGGTTATGTTCTTTTTTTTTTCCCCCTTATTTTGGTGAGAACTGCCTGTATTGCTCTTTTGAAGCCTGGAAAAAGAGTTAACGACGAGCGACTGGCCTGCGTAGGGAGGAGGCGATGGGGGGGAGTTTGGGGGGGTGGGGGGGCAGCTTGAGCCTGGATGTTCATTAAACCACTGTACTGCTCCGTTATGTGCTTTGCCCACTTAATAATTCAGCAGGAGTTTTTCCTCTGGAAAAGCTGGCAGTATGCACGTTAGTGTTTGTGTAAATGCGCACACTTCAGAAAGACCAACAATGTGTAAACCCCTCAAATCTACTAACAGTCAGCCTGTCATCATCAGAGTAAAATGCGACTTTGTTGTTGTGTGTTATCTTAAAGATCTGATTAGCCTAGCTTAGCACAAACTGCTAGCCTCCCTGCTGTCAAAAAAAGGTTTTTAGGGAGCTTCGTTCTGTCCAATTTTATATCTAACTTTTTCAACATTTTCTTTCAGTATGTTTTTTTTTATGAGGAGCAACTTTTTTTTTCATTACATTGAATTCTGGCAGGATCCGCAAAGGCCTCACTGTGCGTCTCGATTTTACCTCCACAGAGCAATGTCAGTAAGCACACTGTGGCCCACAGTAAGTTGAAACTGTCCAACGTGACAGAGAAAGATGGCGGGAAGTACTGGTGTCGCGCCTCCAATTTTGTAGGCAGGTCGGAAAAAGCCTTCTGGCTCAAAGTACACAAACCAGGTAACTGTCGAGCTCCGCTGGAAGAGACCACCTTCGCCACCCCCACCCCCATCTTCTGCTGGTGCCTTCCCTGTTCCTGCTTGGTTGTGGGTCTGCTCGGCTTGCTAACAGGGTCGCAGGCGCGCGCACGCATACACAAGCACATCCCTTAAATGAGTTCAGGCCATTTTTATTCTGTCGGCTACTAGCTGTCATTCATTTGAACTCTCGGTGGCCATTCAGTACCAATGAATATTTCTACTGACTTCAAAAGTCTCACCCTTACACACCCATATGCCACCCTACACACATATATCTGGCAAAAAACTAACATAAAACCCTGACATATCGAAGCACACACACGTCCTGTATTGATTTTCCCAGGAGTGTGTTCTCCAGCATTATTAATGTGTTTTTATATGAGAGCCTGCTGCATAAGTAGCTCTCTCCGTTATTGTTTATTACTAGAGGCTCTCACTGGTCATCACTGGAAACATTAGTCAAAGGAGAAAAGGTGCAATGCACGGTCCTGCAGGCGCTTTATTCCCTATAAATGGCACACACAAAAAACTTATTTGCAAGCCCCTTTTTTTATTTTTTGCTATATAAAAAGTTGCTATTACCATGACTGTTTCAATTCGCTGTTTGCAATTAATGTGTCAAAAGTCCCCATCTCCAGTGGAAGTGGAGTAACTGTGAACATGACTCTTTTCTTTCAAAGCCATCATCATATTTCAAACAGAACCTGATTTATTTCTTATTTTATGTCAACCTTACGTTGTATTTCTTCTGTCTAACCTATACCAACCGTGACTGAAGGGTTGTCGGGACTCAGACTCGGTTCTCTAGCGTGACACTAGACCCCTCGTTGGCAACGGCTCGAGGCGAATGGATTTGGTCTGCTTTGGCATTGGGTTCACTCCGTCCTTCACACTGTTACAAATCAATGAACGGAAAAATCGCCTTTTTCCTTTAACCAATTTCAATACTGCTACATTTTAAAGCAAACCAAGTCTTTGTTAAGTACTTAATAGGCAGATCTAAAGGAGCCTGCAGGACTGGGTTGAACCATCGAGCTTAAAGGTGCTGCTTGGGTGTTTTTCAGTTGCTGGTGGCGGCATAGCTGGCTCCTTCAAATCCTCAGTCCTGTCCTTTCCCTTCGGGGTGTATTTGGTGTTTTCCTCTAAGAGGCTTTCAGCTCACAGTATCTCTCTCTCTTTCCCTGCTCCACCTTATCCCCCCCCCATCCCTCATCCCCTACAGACGGCTGGTATTAACACCACAGATAAGGAGCTAGAGGTTCTCTTCTTGACCAATGTGTCTTTTGAGGATGCGGGCGAGTACACTTGCCTGGCGGGGAACTCTATCGGCTTTACTTTCCACTCTGCTTGGCTCACGGTGCTTCCAGGTATATTCCCCTTTTTTTACTCTACGGATCTCCGGACCCCTTTCCGGTCCATTTCTTCTTCCCTAAAACAGTTTTGGAACGTTTTCTTCAGTAGCACATGACCCCGCCTCATTGGCCGTTGGCGGTGGTGAACACATGTAAAGACTGTTAAAACTGTCATCATGCCTTTGATTGGAATGAACGGGCACGTGACCAAATCTTAACTTATGAGTAGCTTAACAGCAGATTGTGTGTTTCAGGGCCGTTAGGCAATTTTTGGGAATATTTCTTTGATGTGGAAGACAGTAATTACCTCCCTGAGGAGAGGTGTATCACAGGTGTAATTACCTGCTTTAGCTGATTTTTTTTTTTTTTAAGTATATGCACACCATTCAGTGTGCTCAAAGTTTTCCAAAAGAACATTTCCTGAAATCCATTGGGTTCAAAAATGTGCTACCGATCAAAACACCCTTATGAAAATACTGCTTCATTTTGTTTGGCTATTTTTGCCTGTCTTCTGATTTGTATTTTTTACTGTTTAATATGAAAGCCGTGAACCCGGAGAAGGAAGACTACTACGCTGACATTCTGATTTACGTCACGGGCTGCGTGCTCTTCATCCTCGCCGTGGTCATCGTCATCCTCTGCCGCATGAGGATGACCACGCAGAAGACTCTGCCCACGCCCCCTGTGCAAAAGCTGTCCAAGTTCCCCCTCAAGAGACAGGTAACAGAAAGTAGATACAAGATTCGTACACGCTTTCCCTTCTTTCTCTCTCTCTCTGCCGTTTGGTTTTCAGCCTTTAATTCAAATTAACTCAAGAAAAAGTTTGAAATTATGTAAAATAATGAAGCATTAACCTTTAAGGTCAGTTTGATAAATGATAATAATCCATACTTAAAAGAAAAAAAAATCACACTTGTATTTTTAGTTTAAATGCATTTTTGCTTGAAGTAGATATTGGATTCAAAGTCTTCACATAATTTTTTGTTAGTTAAAGAAAGTTTTTTTTTTTACAAGATAAAAGCAAAAATTGTCTGCATGTCTACACTTAAGTTAGTAAGTAAGTAATTCTCCAGCCAGCTCCGCCCTGCTGGACTCCCTCCGTGTTCTGGACAAAGCCACTGTGTGGATGTTTTTTGCAAATTCCAGCTTTCCAGCTTTATAATTGAAGGGTTGTGCGTCTCAAAAAGCACAAGATACATTTTTAGATCGGCGAGCCAGTACTCGAAAGCCTCTTGCCGTCCTTGGGACACAAAACAATACAAAGAAAATTATGTGTGACGCTGTAAAATGATGTTACATAAAGAAGAACTGAATTGTTAGGTTCAAGTCCCTGTCAAGTACAAACCTCATTTTTTAAGAGTTCCCCTAATTGCAGCCTCAGACTCTATTCTATTTCTGCTGCCTTCATATAAATGGTCTCATAAGGTATTACAGGGAAAGATCTTATTGCATTTTTACTGTAATCTTTGCTTTGGTTTTTTCAAAGCTAATCTCCCAGTTCTCCCCTTTCTTTTTCATAACTGAGTAAATCTCATGTAAATCTCCTGGCATGTTCCATCAGATATTACTTTTCATGCCTCCGAAACTGTGGTCAGTGCTTTTTCTTTTTCTTTTTCCCCCTCCCCCCCCAATTATATTTCTAGCCTCAAAACATTTTTCTCATTTTCCTGCTGAGAAGAGGTCTGGTAAGTAGACTTGTTTGTTGCAGAAAGCCCACCTGAAGGGCCAGAGCTAGTGGCAGTCTCTCCGACATGAAAAGATCCATCAAAAATAGGGGCCGAAGCTGCCATCTCCTCCCCCAGCAGTCAGATTAATGACGGGAGGATGCCGAGCCCACGGGCTCAGAGGCAGGGCTGCCAATCTAAAGACGGAGCCCGCTGATGAATAGAGAGGGCCGGCCCATCCCTCTGTCTCACACCTCTGCATCCTCCGTCATTCGTCTTTGTTACCTGCTCCCCCCCCCCCCACCGTCTGCGCTCATCCACAGGCCCGCTGTTTGTAAAAGTCACAGCCGGTGTGAGGAGTCACGCTGTTTCACAGACACCAAATTGGGAACTCTTTGATATCGGCCCCGAGATGTAGGATGTTTCAAATCGGGATTCTGCCAAAAATCCCTATGAAGGATTTGGTGAACCACAACTGTAAGGAAAAAAAACAAAACACTTTGATCAAATTTGAGGTTTGGATTCAGTTTCAGGTCACTGGCCTTTTTTTGTAGACACAAAGACATAAACGGCCCTTTTAAATAATTTAAAAAAACACCAGAAAGGGACAAAATCACTCACCTTTTTTATCAACCCTCAATTTCTTCTTACTCGTTTATTTGCTTGTTTGTTTTTTCCATTACACAGAAAAATAAGTACTAAACTTAGAATTCACGTTAACTTCAAAATGATATTAATATTTGGTTTTGTTGTCATCAGTGAGTACCGTAATGTTACCCTTTCCAGAAAGCAGGAGCTGAGCTTTACTTTCTCTTACAGTGCTGTGACCATTTCAAAACCTAGAACTTTTTTTAAGGCCTCTATTCCTCTCTGTCGCCTCGTATGAACACGCACCAGCTGTTTCGTTTCAGAGACTATAACAGATCCTTTTTGCACCCAAGCAGGTGTCCTTGGATTCCAACTCCTCCATGAACTCCAACACACCGCTGGTCCGGATTGCCCGCCTCTCGTCCAGCGACGGACCCATGCTGGCCAACGTCTCGGAGCTGGAGCTGCCGTCGGACCCCAAATGGGAGTTCCCTCGGACGCGGTGAGGATGGGTTTGAAATAAATTCTCGGGTGACAGAGGGAAAAGTTAAAGCTGTACGCAGAAATTCGACAAAGCATCCCTCAACGGTTCCTGGATCAAAACTCTAACTTTAAGAACGGTTTCCTTTTTTTTTTTTTCTTTTCTTTCCCAGGCTCACTCTGGGCAAACCTCTGGGGGAGGGCTGCTTTGGTCAGGTGGTCATGGCCGAGGCGGTGGGCATCGACAAGGAGAAACCCAACAAGCCACTTACAGTCGCTGTCAAAATGCTGAAAGGTGCGGATAGTTGTTTTCTACCCCCCACCTATTTTCCCAAAGCCAACACGTCCCCATCAATTTGGCCTGAAACCTTTCCTCTTCTCGTCCTCAGACGACGCGACGGATAAGGACTTGTCGGACCTGGTGTCGGAAATGGAGATGATGAAAATGATCGGCAAACACAAGAACATCATCAACCTGCTGGGAGCGTGCACGCAGGACGGTGAGCCGATGGTCCGGCCTCCCCGCCGGCCGGGGCCGCTGACCCGGAGGCTGACGCCGCTCTCGGCTCTGCGCGCAGGTCCCCTGTACGTCCTGGTGGAGTACGCCTCCAAAGGCAACCTGAGGGAGTACCTGCGGGCGCGGCGCCCGCCGGGGATGGACTACTCCTTCGACACCTGCAAGATCCCCGACGAGCAGCTCACCTTCAAAGACCTGGTGTCCTGCGCCTACCAGGTGGCCCGGGGCATGGAGTACCTCGCCTCGCAGAAGGTAAGGCAACTAGAGGAACTTCTAACCGCTCGCTACTGACAGCAAGCGGTCGGTTTGGAGACGGCAACCGTCTTAAATGCCTCATCGAGAAAAGAAGCATCGTTCAGAAGTTCTTAATTTGTTATTTCCGTCATTCTGTCTATCCTAAATTTGCCCTGACCCTTCTTGGCACCACTTTTATTACAAAACCTGATTAGTGACCCTTTGTTTCTCCCATGTAAACTCTCAACTTCTGCGAGAACAGCATTAACAACCATTGAATCATCCACTCTACTTTTAAATAAGACTGTTATATTTTGTTCTTGTACATAAACCTATAGCTGTGTTTTTCTTTGAACCACATTTGATCTTAAAGGATTCCTAACCTCCATGTGTACATAATACAGCACATGCCCTAATCTGGATTGGGCGTACTTGACATTTCTTTGGAATATTCTATGCAAATAGGTCATTCAAGCTGACATTTATTACTGTGTTATAGAGTGTAATGCACTCTGTTCAAAGTCTTTTTTGGTCATCCTTTCCCACAGTGCATCCACAGAGACCTGGCAGCAAGGAACGTTCTCGTGACGGAAGACAACATTATGAAAATCGCCGACTTCGGCCTGGCCAGAGACGTGCACAACATAGACTACTACAAAAAGACCACAAATGTGAGTCTTTTGCTTCATCGTGTCTCTTTTTTAACAGAAAAAAAAAAGAATACGAACTCGCATGTGAGCATGGTGTCGATTGCAGTATTACATATCAGAAAGTTTGGTCTTTGATGTTCCAGAAGTAAAACTAAAGGGAAGTGAGTGTAAATGAACAGATACGTTATATTTCATAGTGGATATATCTGAGCGTCTCTGCTCTGATATAAACAGACTACGATCAGACGCTGTGGCGACGTATCAAACAAGTCAAGCACTTTAATTCGCAATCCAATATGTGTTCCCCCTTATTTGGAGCAGCTCGCACCAAAGGCGTGGGCTCTGTTTTCTCTGCTGTACAGAAAGGTTCTGCTGACAGATGCGCTTCTGTTATGCCTCTTTTGTCCCAGGGTCGTCTGCCTGTGAAATGGATGGCTCCGGAGGCTCTGTTCGACCGGGTCTACACGCACCAGAGCGATGTGTGAGTTTGCACAAACGAGCCGCCGCCCGTCCACTGTCCACTCATGTGGAGCCGCCGTACGCCGGGAGGAATGCGGGTGTTGAAACGATCGTGACTGGGCACGTTAGCGTCAAACCCCGGACTTCTCTGTGTGTTTGTGTGTGTGTGTGTGTGAACGCGTCAGCCGCCCTCTCTCCCGATAATCCCCGGTTTCTCACGGAAAAGCCGCTCTGCATTCCTGCCTGTGCTCGTTCTCAAATCTCCCAGCGGGACATCAGAGAGAAAGAGAGAGCCCCGACACCTTACCGCTGTGTTATCGGCGTAAATCCACCCTGCACTCGAACAGAAGGAGTTGAGAGGGGCAGTGGACTCAGCACAAGATGTCCCTCTCGAGGTGGGGGGGGGGTGTTTTTTCCACGCCGGTTTCAAAAGATCAGGCCAGCGGACACACACACACCTTTTACCACCTCTGATTGCTTCCCTCTTGGCTGTGATGAGGAAAAAAGAAAGGCGAGGAGGTCGCAAAGTCAGCCTGTCATGCAGTAGCTGCAAGCCCCCCCCCTAAAACCGCCCCCCCCCCCCCCCCCACCCCCACCGGCTACAGCCAGACACTGTGTCCCTCGCGAAGCCATCCAAGCCAAACAAGGGCCCCTGTCAACACTGCCTGGCCGTGTGATTACACCAGACTGGGAACGGGCCGAGGGGAGAATCAGCCCGTTCTGTTATTTCAGCAGGCCTGGATTACAGCGCCGGTCCTCCCGCCAAAAAAACCTCCTCCTCTCTTTATACAGTAGTCTCTCCAAGGCCAGTTTACTCTCGCGCACCTCAGGGGAGCTTTGACTTTTGACCCCCGATCGCTTTTCATGTGGTATAATGGGGAAACGGTTTAAAACGCTCTCAAATAAATCCGTCACGAGCCCCTCAGTCGGACCATAAATAACAAAGAGCTGGCACAAAGAGATGCTAAGTGTCGCGTTTAAGATCCCAGTTCAGGGAATCGGATTCGCTCATTACACCTTTCCAAAGTCTGCAGAGGCGCAGCAGCATTCAGCAGCGGCTTTATTGGAATTCTGAGTGTTTGTTTGTTGTTCTAGAGAAACGTTCGTTGTTGCCCGGTGCAGATGTAGACCTTTTATTTTCCTCATAAGCTTTTCCACTGGCAGTGCCATGAAGGTGAGGATTTTATTTTTGAACGGCCTCAGAGGTGACAGCCCATAAAAAGCAGCGGTGAACAAATCCAATTGCACCTTTTTAGAGATGCTCTAAACCTCCCCCACAGGGAACATGGAGGTGTGGGTCAAAAAGGCAGCCGCTGGCAGCCCAATATTTGGCTTCAGTGGGGAAAAATCACCAAACTATAAACTAATGAGTTGATGACTGCGACTCAGAGCAACCGACTTTTTTCAACTGACTTTGAACGTTTGCTGAAGTTATTTAGATAAATGTACATCTCCACTAACACACAACTTTAACTTTTTGCATCTTTGTCTGACTGAATTATAATACCAGAGTGAATCCACCATATAATGAGATTTCATTATCAGTTTGACATTATTAACATTACTGACTAAAAACAGTCATTTCATTGGCATCTCCTATGTTGGTTGATCTCCCTTTTTCAAAGAAAATGTGGTAGTTTGTGAAAAAGAGGCACTTTGAATTGCACAAACAAAACAAATAGCTTGTGCAGTAGTTAAGACCGTTAAAGAACAGTTGTTGATTAATCAAATTAGTCGTTAACAAGTAGCTATCCAACATGGCTGAGGGGTTTTTAGCTCAAAGGTTCCTAATGCTAATTAAGCTAGGCGCAAACACTTGTGTGTCCTCGTCTCTTCTGGCCTTGCGTGCCGTTTGCTTCAAGTCATCCATCGCACACTCTTAAAAGACAGCCCTTCGCGTTTGCAAGTTAGCACAGAATCATTTTAAAAAAGATATGAAAAAGTGACAACATTTCTTATCAAGTGCAAAGTCTCCAAATGTTAGCTTAGCTGTTAGCAGCAAGGCAGATGTCCCTTTCAGAATCTTTAAATCTGACAAAACCAAACTTCATTCCTTCTTTTAGTGCTTATGCCAGCAAAAAGAAATAAGCTTTTACATGTCATCTCCTTCTGTTTGTCACCTGTCTATTAATATAAATAAATAGGCTTACTATTTGTTATCTTTGAGGTGGTCCTCAGCCTGTAGCGGCCTTGGACACCTGACTCATTTTTTAATATTTAATGCGTCACATTTAGAAAAACTTATTTCATATTTATTCAATCTGTGCACCATCAGCTTTTCCTCCCTCTAAATGCTGATCTCTCTCTCTCTGAGGCTTCTGTTGCCACTCTGTGTTCCAAAGCTGGACCAGCCGGCTTGGTCCTCAGTGGCTGTTTTCCACCCTCTGGACCGTAGCGTGGATAATTAGATTAAGCCCGCCGTGCACCACAGAGGCAAGAGGGGGGCCTCATTGTGATTCAACAGATGAACGGCCGAACAATAGTACAGTGGGTTAATAAACTGCCCATTATGTGATTACCTTCCATGATTTTTTTGCAATTTGGGAATAATGCGCCAGTACGCTCACGCTGCTGCCACTGAGAGAGAAAGAGAGCGAGATGATAGCTTGGTTTAAAGGTATAATAGATTCCAAACTGGACAACAGCTGGCCCGAACGCATAAATAACGTGTAATGAGACTCTCCACTGATCTTTACCGGTTATTTTAGATCAGGAGATGTCGGTATTCTCGAGGTATTACGGCAATTATTTGGCGATTATTATATTTGGTCCCTGAGAAATATCATCGTTTGGTTTTAATGCCCCAAGTAAAGCTGGGAGTAGGATTGTTTTTCTCAAAGTACGGGAAAAAAATAACTCAACGGGAGGCCCTGAACCCCAAAATAATATGTTAACTGCAGACATCAAATGTGGATCACTTGTAAGGAAATTATTGCAAAAGTTTTCGTCGGCATATTTTCATATTTTTCTGTCATTGTTTTACATCGAACCCAGATATGAAAAGTAAAAACAGAACAAATCAGGGCCTAAAGAAAATGTATAATTCACCTCACTTGAGTGTGTCCGACGACTCAGTGCTCTATTTAAGACCTATATTTCTTCCTAAACTGATTGGCCTGAGCTTTGACCTCTCGTCTGCTTTCATGTCCAGGTGGTCTTACGGGGTTCTGCTGTGGGAGATCTTCACCCTGGGGGGCTCGCCGTACCCGGGGATCCCCGTGGAAGAGCTGTTCAAGCTGTTAAAGGAGGGCCACCGGATGGACAAACCCGCCAACTGCACACACGAACTGTAAGGCGCCCAGACAACCACTCGAAAAACAACCAAGTTTATGCCAGATGTGGGATGACCAGACTTTTGGTTTTGTGGGTTCCAGGTACATGATCATGAGGGAGTGCTGGCACGCGGTGCCGTCGCAGAGGCCCACCTTCAGACAGCTCGTAGAAGACCACGACCGGGTTTTATCCATGACCTCAACCGACGTAAGTCCCCCTGCTATTTACCGAATGTGGAACTACTATGCGGAACTGTGTGTTGAACTGTTTCTCAGTGCCTGACCCCTTAGCGATAGACGTGATGTGACTTTTGAGATCTCCTCCAACAGGAGTACCTGGACCTGTCGGTGCCCTTCGAGCAGTACTCGCCCACCTGTCAGGACTCCAACAGCACCTGCTCCTCGGGGGACGACTCCGTGTTCGCCCACGACCCGCTGCCCGACGAGCCCTGCCTCCCCAAGCAGCTCCCCAGCATCGGGGTGATTAGGACATAAAAACCCCTAACCCAGCTCCAGGAGGAGGGAGGAGGTCGGACATTCGCCTCCTCTCACAGTCTGCCGGCGAATGGCTATCTCAGTGACTAAAGCTCCTCAAAATAACGAGAGGACAAACTCCGCATGCAATACTTCCAACAGCTCTTCGGCTGGTCTTAAACTCTTGGTCGACCGTCTTTTCGAGCGACGTCTTTTTCCTCATCCTTGGCCCCCAAGAGACTCGGCATTGAAGGATTTTTTTTTTTTTCTGTTGAATCATGTTTGTGTTCTTCTTTCCAGAAAAAGATATTCTATTTTTGTACTCGGGCCAGTCTTTTGTTACGGACAGTGTGTTGAGGGGAAACCATTCCGTGCCTACTGGGATTAAACCTCCTGAGACTGAGTTAAAAGAGGACGCGAGAGGAGGAAACGAAGGGCATTGGTGGGTGACCATTGGTGGGCGAGGACCACCGGTTTGGATCCTCTCGTCTGCACGAAGCCCCCGAGGTGCGAACCGAGTCGGTGATCCGGGACACAGTGAGTTCAGCTGATACCAGCAAAGCCCTCAATCAGCTCCACAACGGGACTTGTCACGGAAGACAGAGAGGAGTCCACGAAAACCCGAGTGTTTACTCGGGAACTTGTAAGCTATTATCCTCATCCTAACAGTTTAGCGACAGTTGCCGAACAAATTCCTCAAAGTTTCAGGGCCGTTCATTGATAAGTACACTAAGGTTTGGCGGACTTTTTCCACATACATATATATATCTATATATATATATATACGTATATACGTATATATACAAAAATATATCTTAAAAAGTGATTTATTGTAAATATATAATTGCAAATATGTATCATATTGCTGTTCACGGCCACGTGCAAAAAAGACAGAAAAAGACATTTTTAAGATAATATTTGAGGACGGAAGACACTGTCATGTGCGTGTAAAACATTTAATCATTTAAAGCGGCGCAGAAAAAAAGGGTTTATTTGAATAATTAACATGTATATTTGTAAAGGTATTTATAGACTTAAAATGTGGTTTCTTAAGTTTGAACAGTCTAGCTTAGGATTTTAGTACTGTACACAAAGATTTTTATTTGGACTTTTGTAACTTATTTTAGACGGGACCCGCAAGGTTGGCGTCACAACTGGCAGACTCCTTTAGGTTTTGATCCATCGTTTTTATCGGTTTGTTTACAGTTTGAAAATGGGGAGAAGAAAAAAACAATGAAAAAAAAAAGAATGTACGAAGAAGATGATTTTTTTTTTCTTTTTTAAAGCAAAGTGCGATGCATCTGCCAGGAGAAGGATTTGTGAAGCCAGAGCTCTTCCTGATGGGAGCCGGATGTTCGTATTCTGGTTTTGACGACTAGAAATTTTTGCAATATGTAAAGCAGCGATCGACTCTTGCCAGGCAAGAAATGAAATAGCAGCGCTTCGAAATAGATAAGAACCTCATCAATCTTTTTTTTTGGGATGGATGGTCGACTTTTTTAGTCATTTTCTTTGCAGGCTGTGATTTTTGTAGAACTCTGGCAGGGATTTTTCCTCTCACGCGAGCACCTTTCGCTAATGACATTTAAGGCTAAACTACAATTCCCAGCTGCGGGCGTCAGAGAATACCCGTTTGCTGCAGTGCATGCTGGGGCTTTGAGTCCACCAGAGGCTCCCCTGCTCCCCGTCATAGGGCAAGGGGCCAGAGAGAAAAAGGCTCACAACTTTTGAACCCTTCGGACGGGAGGTACCGCTGTTTGTTTTTTTGGTTTTTTTGTTTTGTTTTTCTCCAAGGTGCCTGTGAAGGATTAGGTACTCCCTCTGCTCGAGTGCTGCTAAAGAGAAAAAAAAAGATTTTTAAGAACTGTCCCGACGCCCGAAATGGCATCGCTGCTCAATAAGTATTAAACTGAAATGAAGGAAAAGAAACTAAAAATGTCTAGATGCAGCATATCTTTATCAGAGACCCTGTCTGTGGTAGGTCCCTCTTCGAGTTCGGTCTGCTGGAGAACAAAAAAGTGCCAAATTAGTCTCTAAACGCTATTCAACAGGTATCTGAACTAAATGATGCGACGGTCAAATATAGGTGGGCGGAGCTCCATGGGATTCCCAAACAGATATTCCCATCTTTTTGTTTTTGTTTTTAAATATGCAGCTGTCTCTTCAGCTGAAACCCCCTCAACTCCCCAAAAAAGAAATTCTTTAAAAATAGTATAAGTATTTTAAATGATGGGGACCCGTTACAGTGCAATGGCCTCGTTCCGGAGAATTAGCCAAAATTTCTTTGGGGGGAAATCGTGTGTAGATGCCCCACAATGTCAGTACTTGACTAAACCATCCCAAAACATGTAAAGTACTTCAAACTGCTTCAACTACACATCAATTCCTTTGTCCCACCGATGGAGTTTTTGTCTTTTATTTTTGGTACTTTGTAAAGTTCACGTCACACAAAGATGTTATTTCTGTTTTTTAGTGCCGGTTTTGGCCCCAAATCCTAGAAGTGCCTCGATTTAAACGGAAGATTTGGTTCGTCCCGATTTGCGTTTTGAATGTACGATTGCAAAAGAAAATAAGAATGAAAAGGAAACAAACGACGCGGATGTAAAAAAAAAAAAAAAAGTAGTTCTCACGAGAAAGCGGGCCTGTTTTGCTTGTTATGACTCTGCGAATGAGACAAAAGATTTTTAAGAAGCACTTCTGTAAGGGATGGATGGATCTAATGAAACGGAGGGTGTCTTGTTTTATTTATTCTTCCATGCTGGGTAAAAGCTTTCCCTATGGTGAGAGTATTTTTTTATTCATGGCTGTCTGCTTTTCAGTGTTGTTTCCATTCAAGAGCCAGAAGAAGAAGATAAATATGATGTAGTGTAGTCATTTTGAGAGATACTGATGCGCCCCATCAGGTTTTACTTCTGGTGTTTTTTTCTGTTGTATTTTCTTTGATTTCATTTTAACACCCCCCCTCTCCCCCCGGCTTTTTCATTATTTTATTTTTTTGTCTCCTTGTCCCATCTGTCTGTAGAATCACTTTTTGAAATGAATGTTGTTTTTAGCTTGCTAAGACTAACTGATTCCTTCTGGGTATTTTTATGTCTCAACACTAAAGCAGAATTAGATTTGTTTTTTGTTTTTGTTCTTTTTTGTTTTATGGTATTAATTTCCTCTGAATATAAAATGAGATTAAAAATTGTCTTTAAGCCCGTCAAGTTTAGTTAATTTATTGAAGATGTAATAATCGATTGGAGAAATAAGAGGCGTCATTTGCACCGGCTGTGAAGGTAAAAAACATCAGCGTCTGCCTTGAAACATTAAAAAATACTTTTAAAATATATACGTCAAAAACAGCAAATACATTCAATAGCGAACATGTTTTCTTTGGCGTGGAGGGAAAAAATAAGGGAGGGATTATTACTGTATGTACAGTCATGCATAGCCCCCAAACCACCTGTGACTTATTTATTTCCCGTTCTATTCAGCTACAAAACAATCAGAACCGAAGATAAGACTGGAGGAAGAGTGGTTTCCTTCCACACATATAACAGCTATGGATATTTTCTCTCATTCTTTCTTTTGTGCCGCTTCTCCCACGGTCGGAATGTTAGTTTTCACACAGCTTTTCTCTTTTTTTCCACCCGATCCCAGCTCTGATCCTGTGATTGGATCGTCATAACTTCTCCTGTAAGAACCCCAGAGAGGGGAGGAGACGCTCTTCTTCCACCATGTTTCTTTTTGCATTCCACTTCCATTTTAACCAGAATAATAAGACAAAATCCTGTTTGCTCTTCTGATTTTTTTTTTTTTTTTTCTCATGCTCACACATTTATTTTCCCTCCATCTGTATTAATAGGTCTAACATAGAAAGGTGGAACTAACCATTTGGCTTTATATGAGCTCTTTTTTTTTTTTCCTGTTTGTTTGTAATTCATAGATTATTTGCTGCAATGTACCTATTTTGATCATGATGTAACATTCCACCACAGCAGCCCCTCTGGGCAGACATCTCCCAGTGGGAAGAACAAAAAACAGTTATTTCAAAGTGTCTCTCTCTCTCTCTCTCTCTCTCTCTATGTCTCACACTCTCTCTCTCAGTCTGTCTCTTCCTCTTCGTGCCTGACAAACTATGCTGTCGAAAAAGGGTTTCAATAAACATGTTATAATAGCGTTTGCTGTCAACGTTGTGTGTAAGCGTGTGTGGGTGTGTCTGTGTGTGTGTACGTGTTTGCACAACAAACAGTTCCCATGGCAAAGAACAAGTCAAACTAAATATCAGGCTGATTTTTTTATGATCTGTGGCGAACAAAATCAAAAGCGTAGAGGTTTATTTTAACCAACTGAAACCAAAATAGCACACACAGGGGCTTGTATACTTTCCACGCAAACTGTCGGCTAAAGTGAATGCAAACACACTCTGGAAACGGTGAGAGCCGCGCTGTCCACTGACCGACAGGCTGTCCTGATGTAAAGTGGCAGGGATTGTGATGAGGGGGGGAAAAAATGTTTGCTTTGGGATGGGTTCCCACATTTGTGAACAGTTTTAGGACCAATCACATCATGGTGACACTATCAATGGCATTCTTTTACCCAGATTCAATCAAATAGCTCTAAGGATGGACATCTCACATTTTCTTTCTGTAAAAAACATATTTGAGACAGAAAAAGGAACCCTCACAGACTGAAATTACATTGTAGGTTTTTAAGAAATGAAAACACAATGCATTTGTTTAAATACTTTAATCAATTTCTGCATTGTTTTGTTTAAAAAAAGAGGAAGCATTTGATGGATTGGGAAAATACCCAATTTAACAAAAATAATTGCTTCCACGTTTGCTTTTGTCTGAAGTCCCAAGATATTTGAACTATTTGTCACTTCAAAAAAACATTTTTTTATACACGTTCGTTTGTATAACACACACACACACATTATTTGATTTTAGGTACAGTGATTGGAAACAGTCCTTTTTTTGTAAAACAGTATGAATAGGATAGGAAAAATATAATGGGTCAACCTCACCAAATCCAGTTATCAGATATTTCAGTTCTTATTTACACTAGATAGATAGACACAATTGACCTGCTTCTATCTGTCTTTAACAATGATCAATACTTGGTTAAGAACTTTGGAGGCCTCACCTTTGCTCGTTCGTGCTCTCACACATTTACCCGTTTAGCCAATGTGACCAGGCACTATTTTTCCACCAGATGGCTTTTTTTCTTTGTCACAGTTATCACCTGAGAAAACGTAGCTCCAGCCTGACTCTTGGTTTTGGAGCAGAAGGGCCTCTCCTGGACGGCAGGCCTCTCCGTAATGTGATGGTAATCTGGACTTCAGACAGGGACGTCAGTGATCCAGTTAAATCTGGTCCCTGGCAAACCCGGTGGTTTCCTGGTCGTTTGTGATCACTACAACCAAAAAACAGGTCAGAGAAAAATAGCATCTCTCCGGGTTATGAGGGTGGTAGATCTACATCTCTGTGGCTTATGGTTGCAGTCATAATTCACTGGCACAAAGAAGAACGGAACCTAATTGAGGCATTGAGAAAACACCTGTTAAACGAGTATTTTGAAAACGATGATAGTAACGATAAGCTTACCACGAAATCCACAATTCACTTTTTCAAGGAAGTTCAAGTTTTGTTTTTTTTCCGTGGCGCTCACAGTCCAGCAACTTAAACATGGTTAAAAGTGTGTGTGGAGGGCCCTCAGGAGAGCAGTGCATGCAACACTGGCCAGTAAACTTACAGAACAAGAAGCCTTTTGGGATGAAGAATGGAGAAAAAGTCCACAAAAAAGAATGAAAGACATGCAGTTGGCTTCGGAAATTGTTCACAAACTGTAACACTTGTCAAAGGGGTCATTAATTACCCCTCAACCCTCCATCCCCTTTTTTGTTTCAGGCCCTATTTTGTTATTAGTCTTTTTCAAATAGAAGCAAAAATCATTCATTTTTCCTAAAATTTTTTGTTTATTATTGTTTCCCAAAAAACAGGTTTATCTTTTACATGCTTTCATATTCATAGCTAGATGTGTTCATTTTTTAGATAATGGTAGATTACACTGTATTCCATCAACATATTTATCTATGAATGAAGGCTTTATTTTGAACATTTCTAAATAAAGCCTCCTATAAACTATCCACAAACTTTATCAACTATCTATGAAATTACCTACATTCTTAAGGAATGGATTTTGATTTATATCCATGGTGGATGGATGGATGAAAGGATAGATTTAAAGTGAAAGTGTGGTGGTCAGACCTTTAGATTTGCAGATATTTTATTTTTAGGTAAAGTGATTGGAAACGGTTTTAAAATAAAACAAAAACAGTATGAATAGGATAGGACAAATCTGATGGATCAACCACACCAGGTCACTATAACCAGATATTTCAGTTCCAGCTTTAACGTCATTGGGGTAGATCATAAGTTCCTATGGGGGAAAAAAACAACAAGGTGCAGCATTATGCTGCTATCACACAGTTAGGAGTTCAATCACGTGCCAGTACTCAACCTTTATGAACCCAAACTAGCACACTGGACGTGCTGTTTTTGGCTAAATGACAGGATAGTTTGTCATTAATCCTGGATGTAAGTTATTATTCTACAATAGTTCTTTCCCTATATAACATAAATTGGACATGTGTTCTTATAGAACACATGTCCATCCCCTCCAAACGGCAACGTCAGACTTTCTATATAAAGTATCTGGAGAATACATTTTAATTACTTTTTAGAGGGGGGGGGGATGAAAGAAATAAGGATATGGTACAACAGTTTAAACATGTTAGCACAAGTTTGGTAGATAAAATAGGGGAAATGTCCAAGCAATGAGCCACAGGCTGGGAGAATAAACCCAAAGAACCCAATGAGCTGGAGTAATGTAACCTGGAGCTGGCAAGTAGTGAATCCTTCATTATATCGATAGAAATGGCAGATAGAAAAGATTTTTCAACCCGAACACGGTGCAAGTCAACAGTTTCCTAACCAATAACCATAAATAGCAAAAAGTTACGGTAAAAATAAAAAAAAGTCTCAGAACCCAGCTATGCTTGTTGGTCTTAGAAAAAAATGAAAAAGCAGCTTTTTGATTTCTTTGTCTTTGGACTTTTCAAAATAAAAGACGCTAATGTTAAAAAAAAAAAGACGCACAAAGCAAACAAACAAACCATCTCTGATGTTTCTTAGACTGCCTTCAAGGGAAGTAAAATGTGGAAATAGATAGACCCACAGTTGGGAAAACCTCAATACAGAGCAAACACAGTCATGCAACCAACACCAAAAACAAATAAAAGTTTTTCTTTGAGCCCTTCGATCATGCCTGGTCCTCCCAACTATCACAACTAACGTCTGGAACCCCTGTAAAAGGTGGCCTGTGACACTTGGGCCTCTTTGGACTGCTATGGTATTTTTCCTAGTGACTAGATTTGGTCTCAAATATTGTCTGCATCTGAGTGGTAGGTTCCCTGTCATTCTGAAACTTGTTTGTTTACACCACTATGTATGATTTGGCATTCTGCTTTGGGGGAGTATGCACTTTGGCTCAGGCATTTAGAACTGAGTTGTCCCAATATCATAAGCATTTTATTCTATACAGAGTATAGAATCCTCAAAAAAATCTTAAAGACCAACCTCTTCAAAGAGCATCTCTTATCCTAGCGCTTACCCATACCTCTATACCCCCTTTTCTACTCTTTCTGCACTTCCCTCTAACTTTTCACTGTCACCACTGACTAAATGCTTTCACATAAACACAAACAGAATAAAAAGTGGAGAAAAGGCGTAACAAGCTTCTCACTCCCTGTCTGGTCTGCTGGGTACACTCGGCCAATCCTGGACCTGACTTCTACCACTTATGTCTGTCTTTTTTTTTTTTAAATCGAGACAAAAAAACAGGAACAACCTCACAGTGTGCCCGCTGGTTACGGAGGGGGAAAGTGAAATGACCTAAAAAATGGAATAAGTCCCAGTCTTTTTTCTCCTTTCACTCGGGAGCAGGAAATGCAGGGCCACAAAGATTTTTTGCGCTCTCCCCGGTTTCCTGTTCATTCGCTCACACAGAGAAAAAAACAAATTGGCCTCTCACGGCGTCTTAACTGCTCTTTAATCACGGCGAGGCTCTGCCCCTCCGTCTTTGTACAGTTCCACGCCCTCCCTCGCCGCCTTTGCTAAAACGGCTGGTGGGAGGGGATGGAGCGGGTGAGCTGGCAGGGGAGGGTTTTTTTTTTTTACTTTCTGCTGTTTTTCTTCTTTTCTTTTTTTCCAAGGGGGCACTGAAGCTGCTCAGCCAAGGCTGGACAGTGGCATAGAGAGAGAGAGAGGGAGAGAGGGAGAGAGGGAGAGAGGGGTCTATGTAAACAGGCCTCTGGCCCCCCGCCCGTCTGAAGTGCGTCCTGAGGGGAACATCCTGCCCCTCCATGGAACTTCCTCGGCCGGCTGAAGTGGCCCATTCACGGAGGTCTTGTGAGGGGGGCTTGTTTTCGCTGCTAAATGGATGTTTCTGTTTCAGAGGTGTTTGCGGTGGTGGCCTCTTTCCACCGACTACCCCCCCCCCTCACAGACCCCCCTTTACCCCCCCAAGCTTCTCCCTCCCATCTCTCTCTCTGCTAAATGCAGCAATCAGCTGGATGACCTTTTAAATCGCGTCTCCTCAGAGGAGCAGATGGAAATGAGGAGGTCATCTTGTCATCTCGTGACTCTGAAACGAAAGAAAGAGCGCGCGGCAAAATCGAAGAATCGGGGGAAAAAAGAAGGAAAGTTGACTCTGAGAACAGGCGGGTTTTTTAACGTTTTTTTTTGTAAGATTTGTGTGGA